TCTTGACCATCTTTCTTTGTCCTTGCCTTTCATTTTTTTCTTTGACCTTCTTGACCTTGACTTTTTTGACTTTATTTAACCTTATTTGATCTTTTTGACCTTGACTTTTTGACTTTCTTTGGCCATCTTGACCATTTTTCTTTGACCTTGCTTTTCTTTTTCTTTCTTTGACTTTCTTGACCTTGACGTTTTTGACTTTCTTTAACTCTATTTGATCTTTTTGACCTTGACTTTTTGACACCGACTTAACTTGACCATGAATTTTTTGACTTTCTCTGACCATCTTAGACTTTCTTTGACCTTTTTGACCTTGACTTTTTGACTTTAACTTTATATGATCTGTTTGACGATTTTGACACTGACTTTACTTGACCATGACATTTTTGACTTTCTTTGACATCTTCACCACGTTTCTTTGACCTTGCCTTTCTTTTTCTTTCCTGACCTTGACGTTTTTGACTTTCTTTAACTTTATTTGATCTTTTTGACCTTGACTTTTTGACACTTACTTTACTTGACCATGACATTTTTGACTTTCTTTGATCTTTTTGACCTTATTTAATTTTATTTTAGCCTGTTCACCTTGACTTTCCTTTACTTTTATTATCTTTCAGAGACTTTCTTAGACCTTTATTTGACCTTCTTTACCTTTACTTTCTTTGACCTTGACATTTTTGAATTTCTTTGTCTTCCTTTGATCTTCTTTCTTTCATTTGAGCTGCTTTTGAGACTTTTTTGACTCTCTATATCTTTCTTAGACTTTTTGACCTCTGCATTCTTTATCTTCCTTTGACCTTATTCAACTTTATTTAGCCTTACCCCGTTTGACTTTGTCTTTTTTCTCTGACCTTGAACATCCACCCATTTTTCTAACTACAAACATATTTATTTAAAACTACTCTTGACATACTTTAACATTGTTCCGACATTCTCAACCCATTTTTGACAACATACTAGACAAAAACATGCTTATCGACGTGCTTTGACCATTCCTTTGACATTCGGCGACTGTCTCGTGGCACTCTGGACAGTAATGCTGGAAGCTGTATGGTACTACTGCAGTATTATGGTCCACTACTGCTTTCATTTCTAAAAAAAACTCAGCGCAACTTTTAGAAAATCACTGCCTGCTTCCATACGTTTGGCCTGTGGTGTAATTGCGGATCTGTCGGTTCATCCTGACAGTCGGACGACTCAGACAAGGCCAAACAGAGGTTATGCTTTCATCCGGACTGACAAAATATATGACCAGAGCTGAGCGCTGGCCAATGGGGTTTTTTTCATTAAGCACAATGTCTGATGGCTCTTTTCCAGAAGTCATCACAGAGCGGCATGTCTGGCTCATCTGCCGGACACCCGGCCAGGGAGGTAAAGGCTGGGAGAGGATAAGCAGGAGAGCGTGTGCAGAATAATGATCAACTCTCCCGCTTTGATGTTCTGGTCCCTCACTGAAGCCATCTCCATCCTGACCATAATGACCAAAATGATCATCAGAAAGGACTGCAGTGGTCTAAAAATGAACAGTAATGGATATGAAGTGATGTTTTCTGTAGACAAATACACTGTTCAAAAGTTTGGATTCCTAATCATATTAAACCATGTCATTGCAAATACATGTATAAAATGATTCTATGATGCTAATATTTCATGCTTTCCATTTAAAGGAAGCTATAAAATTAAGCCATTTCCAACCAGCTGTAGCAGCATCAAGAATTAACTAATAAAGTCAATATCTATAATGATCAACTAGATATTCACAGTAATTTGGTAATAAGAAATGACCATAAATGGATAGTTTACTATGTAATGGGCCCAAATAATACTTTTTTGCCAGTTATTTGTTCCCTGAGCTCCATTTATGATGCTTGTGTGGCTATTTGAACCAGTCGTAATTCATTTTTACATGATTGCAACCTCTCCTTATCTATTAGACTTAAACAGGCTCAGCCTTTAAGACTGGCATATGCAAATTACCTCTCTTCTGATTGGCCATGCTATATTGTGTCATGTTCAAGTGGTGGGGATAAACTGCCGTACGTAAATGAACAGTTTCTTGTGACATCACAAAAACAGCAAATGCAAAACAGACTGTTTTTGCAGGTTAGTTTCCATATATGGATTGTAGAGACTGTGGAGCGAACAGTTCGTACTGAAACTTCTGCAAAAAATACTACTAAAAATAATCCTCTTTGTTAAAGAAAATAACTAAAAAAATGAGAATTTTTCCATGATATGGGCCGCTTGATAACATTTTCCATTTTCTTTTTACCCCATCACAACTTCTTGTTGTTCTCAAAATACTTTAAACTGTGAATAAACCATTGGTTTTCGTTTTGAGGCCTAGATTATTACCCTTCATTCTGCACTGTGTAAGTTATTATTGGAGAATAATTTTTAATATGACAAGTGATTCCAAACTTTTGAACACGTGTATTTACTCCATAAAGTAAACGCGAACGCAAATGGCCTAGAAATCCCACTCACGTCCAGAGTATCACACACAACTGAAACATCTCTGCATAGTTCAGTGTGTGAGATGTGGAGTGATTCAGAGGGGTTTGGTGTGAATTGGTTCAGACGTCTTTACAGTGGTGGTGATAGGAACCAGGGGTCGCCATGACTACAACACAAATATAGACATTTTATTTACTATCCAGAACCACCAGTGAACCTACACGAGTCTTCTGAGTTTATATGGAATGTTGATGATGGAAAATAGTGGAAAATCTGAAATAATAAGTTTTCTTTGGGGACTACTTTGTCTCACAGCGCCCTGCATGTATCCCTCCACCATAAATGGATTCGGAAAAAGAAAACATTCTCAAAACTGTCTCAGACATCAGGGAGTATATTAATAACCATTTCCTGTAATAGCTTTCTGTGAGGGAGCTTTTAGAGGTGGACGTCTGGTTCCTATCACCACCACTGTGAACAGTTCTGACTCGGTAAGTTTCTCTAGAACAGAACGTTTCACACCAAACCACTCTGAATGACTCTGTTTACATCTAAACACACTTAATTACTCAGAAAATGTGGAAAATTGGGTGGAATTCCCCTTCAAGATGTAAGCTGGATGCCATCATTCCAGGACGTATTCTGAATCATGGCTGAACTCCATATAATCCCCTGAAAGTACTCCATCAAAAGCACTGGTGAAACAATGGCCTGTGTATATTTATATATAATATCCCTGCATATCTGACCCTGATAAACAAAAAAAAAAGCCTTGTTAGCAGACCAGTCGAGTGGTCACTAGAGACGTAGCCATGTGGTCACGCTGGGTCATGACACATTTTAACTTAAAACAGTTTAAAAAGACTTTAAAGTGAAGTGGACAGCTTAATCTAGGCTGAAAAATCCCCAAATGTTCTCAAAAATACTGAATATTAAATAAAAAATAATGCACTGAACTGGTTTAATTGATTTCCAATTGAACAGAATGTATTACATCAACACTATTATTGAACAGAACACAGTGCTGATGTAATATATGTTATTCATGTGGAAATTATGTATTCATCTGATACCCTTTCTGCATGCTTCATCACCCTCATCATCATCATCATCATCATGTAAAATACACTCAACACATTCTGGTAGCTGCTGAGTGAGCGAGTGATAGAGGGAGGAGAGAAAACAGCCTTTGTTTTTGTTTAAAAAGTGTCGCAGTTGAGAAGGTCACTCAGCAAAATCTGATTAGACCTCGCTGTCTTCTTTTGTTCTGACCAGTCAAAGATGCTGGCCAAGGAATCAACTCATCTGGCCACCGTCCAGCAGAAATCAATCAATCCCTCTCCTCTAAACCGTCCAATAGAAACATATCCCCCTTGAGCTGTCCAATAAAAAATTGATTTTACTGCCCGCTCCTGCTGGCTGGGCTCTGATTGGCTGGAAGAGCGGACTGCTGGCGTCACCACGGTGACTGAACCGACAGGATGCTCAGGTGGACCAGACGTTTACTGTCCTCTCCCTCTATCTCTCTCTCTCTCAAACATATACCCCCTCATATCATCAGCAGTATGATAATAAGAAAAACGAAATAAGAAATAAGATAAAAATAAACTCAAAAAGGCAACTGCCTTGAATTTCCTTCATTTGAATGTGTACATCGGTTCCACATGAATAAAGTAATTGTTGTCATTCACTTCGCTGGCAACAGTGGCGTTTATGTATTTATTATGCAATACTTAGCTCCGCCCACACTGTCTGGTTGGCTAAAAAATGTTCTACATGCTCCTATATGATATAGCAATTAATGTTTTGTATCATTCCACTGCCTAAGCAGCAACAGTGGCCTCTTTACTCTAACCTACTGGACCTACTTTTTTCGGCGGAAGAAAGTACAAATGTTAAAATCATAGATTTGAAAGAATTTTCTGGGCTTCTTTGTTTGACCTTTTCCTTTACTTTGCAGAAAAGCAGCTCAGTGTGGTTTGTTATGATGAATAACATCACGGCTGGGATGATTTGCCAAGGCCGAATCACAGCCATGATGATATTCACTGTAACAGACTCCCTCTAATGTTCGTTTATGCCGCTCATGTGGGACCGATGTGCATTTTCAATCAAGTAAACTCGCAGTATTGGTTTGCTAGGATGTGGCTGACATTGCTCTGCCTGCATTGGTGCATTTGTCATCGACAACTGCCTCTGTTCGAGTGTCTAGCTGATACAGGACACCCGGGGGCCACTGATTTGTGGCTTGCTGGAGCTGGGAGGGTGATTTCGGGAGGGTTACAAAGGCTCATGCTGGGAAGAATGAAGCGTGGGCTGCTCCTCCAGGCCCACTGTGTCAGAGAAAAGAGAAAGACAGAGGCTTCCCCTCTCTGGAGCTGAAGAGGTCGGCCCTGGAGGGGGCTGCTGACCGACCCCCGGCCCACCATGGCCAGCTCTCAGCCGGCGGCTATGGGGGCGAGATGTTATCTTTGTGCCCCAGTGTTTGAAGGGAATTGGAGTTCCGGAGTGTGACCTGCGCCCTCCCCCTCCCTCCGGCCCCTGTGCTACGAGGCCTCGGCCCGGGGCGCCTCCTTGTGGCCGTTTTGGTGCGACGGTGAGTCCGACGTCTTCACCGTCTTTCGTGGCGGACTCTGCTCCGACACTAGCTCGTGCAGCGATGGCTCCTTGTACATGGCGACTGGAGAAAAGAAAAGAGAGTTTGGCCAAAAGGCACATTTGTACATGCAACAACTGGAGTTCGTCTGCCAGTGCACACTTGATGTTATGATGTTAGGCTGCTTTGCAATGGAGCTACAAGGCTAATGTAGCTAACATGCACTAATCTCACCAATTAGCTGCCGCTAACCGCATGCCTAAATCATCTCACACTTGCCTTAGAGCTTGAAATATTTGTCTGAACCCCAAGAAGCCAAAAGAATGTTTCATTTGTTTGTTAAGTAATTGTATGTTGTACGTTCACCGTGTTGTATGTAGCACATTCTACCTAAAGAAGACGTTTTAGTATTAAACATGTGAAGCAAATACCTCACTATATCAGCACAGCGTGAGAACAGTATTGAAAGTTTATCCAAACTAAAAAAACGTTTGGGTGTTGGGTATATTTTGCTTTGTCCATCTGAATTTACATGACCAAGTGTCAGGCAAATTATTCAGTAACTGCATGAAATAACTGTAAATTTTTATTTTATTTATTTATTTATTTATTTATTTATTAAAAGCTCCTCTCAGATGAACAGAACATGTGTTTTATGATCACACATATTACTACATGCTTACAATTTACTGCTGAAAGCCAAAAATCTTTGACACTCTTTGTAATTTTTAATAAAAATAATGTTTACAGAGCAGATCACTGAAGAGACGCCATCTGTTTATAGTTTATAGCCCAGATTTGTGGAAAAATGGGTCGACTTTCAGTAGAAAAAAAAAAAACTGTGAGTTCAGCTTCTTTTATTATAAGGGTTTAAAATGACATCACCATCTATTTGACTGGAAAGAAGACAGTTACAGCTCTCATACGACCCCCACCTTTAGAATTTAGCTTATGAAATATGAAAGTTATGAAGAATATGATGAAGGGCGTTTTGGAACCAGGTTAAACGGTCAAAGGCTTAAAACTATTGCTTGTTGAATAAAGTTTATTAAAATTTAAACTTAATTTCGTACAACTGATTATTTTATTAGTGACTGTGTACTGCCAAGCAACCACCTAGCAACAACCGAGCAACCACCTTATAAATAATAGCAACTACCTAGCAACACTCTAGCAACCACATAAGCAACCATCTACCAACAGCTGAGCAACATAGAGGAATTACTTACGGTGCACAATCACGGCATTTTCACCACACTGCATTTTCACCACAATGCATCTTCTAGTTATATCAAGTTATTTTAAATCATTTTGTATTTTATTTGTCCAGGATTTAATGATGGCTATATTGCCACCACACAGTGTATTTAACAGTGTTATTTATATTAAAAGAAGTAATATAATTCTAATAATATTTTCAGTACTATTATAAGTTCTGTTCAACACTTTGGCTGATGATGGGCTGATTCGGGTCAGATTTGGACACAAAACTTTGGGTCGGGACAGAATCTTGTCAGTGTTGGGTCACGGTCGGACTCAAAATGGGGATGCTGTGGGTCAGAGTGGACAGAAACCTCTCAGCCTGTATTTGGGCTCGGACAAACATTTCAGGCCCTATTGAAACTCATCTAATCTCAAATAATTGATTAATCTACCAATGATAGATGTGGTTTCTGACGCTGCATGACACACTGTCATCTATAAACATGGACAAAAGTACAGCACATAGCTAAAAACGGTAGTTACGACCATCTTGAAGCCTAAATTTTGTCCGTTACTTATTTATTTACCCCATTTTTCTTCCCAATTTAGTCTTGGCCAATTCCACCTGCTAGCGAGCTTCATCCCACAATGCAACCAAGCTGGAAAGGTGAGGGCTAGAACATGCTAACGCTCCATCACTGGACAGCTCAACAAGCTTGGAGGAGCATGCTAAATGCTAATTCTTTTTCATAAGCTAACAGATGCCTGCATTGGCTAGCATTACGCTGAGTGACTGGGGAGAAGGAGGACCATCCTACCCAACCGAGAAGGAGAGAAGACAGTTAAGCTCTCTTGGGTTCCTGGGAGCAGATGGCTATGGCATCCCCATGTTCTCAACTAGAGGCTGCACCACTCAGGAGCTTTTAGTCCATGTTTGTAGATGATACACAGTATCAGAAACTACATAATGAAGCAGGATTACTTATGAGCTCAACACGGTTTGAGGAAAGTGTGCAATGATTAGGCTCAAAGTTAGCAGTATGCTAATTTGCACAATGCTACTTGTTAGCTACAACCTCATAGCTCCAGGGCTAGGCTAACGAAGCAAACATGCCTTGACAATTTCCTTCAAATACACAACAACTAACAACACTTAAGGGAAGGTTTTTCAAGACTAGCACTGTGGTGCTGCGTTTAAATGAAACACAACTGACCTTCAATGACTTTAGGCAGAAAGTGGGCAGCTCCTTTGGTCTTCTTGACTCGATTGCCCTTCATGACCTGCCCGTCGCGGTTGATGCCGATGTACCACGAGCGGCCGGATTGGCTCTGCCGGTACAGCATGGACGAGTAGGTCACGTAGTAGTTCTCAAACACACTCTCCTTGAACTTACACTCTGGGTTGAAGTGCTCCTGCAAAAAATAAAAAATAATAAAGAAATAACGACGAGAAAAGTTATAAGGGGCTTCACGGAATTATATGCATGCTTATCATTATCATATAAATTAAGTGTAACACACACATAGCAGTAGTGCAGAGGTCTCCAGGGACTTCTTCTCTCATCATTTATGCATTCATTTACATACCTGATGATCTCCTACGATACCGACAGCATCCACACATGCAAATAGCATCAGACGTATGCAGATGCAATGTAAACTGTACATGCACAAGCATGTAAGACCTCATACAAATATACTGACAGAAGACATAGAGTAGCAATCTGTTCCCGTTTTGATATTACAGTGAGAAAAATAGGCCTCAGTCTGGTCAGAGTAATCGTGCCTCACTGAGGATACATCATCCACCCCAAAACTTCCATTTAGCCACTCGTGAGCAATCTCCATCCCACCACAACTCCCATCCATCCTCCTAGCGCTCTGAGCCACTGTTGCTGTGATACTGTTAACTAGTAGCGACATGTATACATCTCTCTTAGTCATCATCAGAGTCCTTGTGCTGTCAGGAAAGCAAACCCAATCTGCAGGACTGATTTAGCGAGGGCAGCAGGGTGCCAGAAACAGCTGACTGAGGCCTTTCCTCCCGCCAGCAGACGAGGAGGAGACTGATGGAGACGGAGAAAAGAGAAGGAGCCTGGACCGGATCCTGAACGGCCATGAAATGATAGCTGATCCTCTAAGTCCCAGGAAACACAGCCAAAACTAGAAGGGGAAAGTCTGTGACTATGACTTTTAAGTTAGGGTGAATGGACGTCCTTGTTTTCTGGGGACAGTCCTTGTTTTTTAGTGGTCAGTCCCGGCTGGAGCTGTCCCCAGAAATGTCCCCATTTAAACTGTGAATTATAAACACACCGGAAAATCCTAAAGGCTGAGTTATACCAGAGAGTTGCACAAGACTCCGCAAACAGTGTGAACCTGAAGTGAACAGGTTACTAGTTGACACACTGTAAAAGCCGGATTATACTTTGGGCATCCACTGTTGTGCGAATGAGGGCTGCGCGTACCTCATGACAAAGTGTTATACTCACTTGTATCAGAGGCGCAAAGATCTCCCCTTTAAAAGTCTCCATGTTCCTGTGTGGCGTCCGCGTCGGCAGCACCGCGTAGCTAGAAAATTTTACGTGTGCGCGAAGCAGCGATCGACAGACGCATGAAGTTTTTCGCACAGGGACTATTGTGACTTTTGTGATGTGTCAGGTACAAACCAGGCTTCCCTTACAAAAGTTTATTCATGTGTGCTATTAGTACACATCTTTTAAACTGAAAATAAGTGAGAATGCTTTCAGTATACTTTTATGTACTTACCAGACATATACTAAACAAAATTATACTTATAAGTATATTATGGTGGCACAGTGGGTTGCACTGTCGCCACAATGGGTTCTCCAGCCGGGTGACCAGGAATCTTTGTGTGTGGAGTTTGCATGTTCTCCCCATATCTGTGTGGGTTTCTTCCCACAAAAAGTGGGCCAATTTAGTCCCAAAAAGTGCTGAAATAGTATGTATACTACTAGTACATTGATATTAGTATACTTACTACATAAAGTATACTTGGGAAATCTACTTGAACTTTACTTAAGTTTACTTTAAGTATACTTTTTTGTAAGGGTTAAGTGGCAGGAAGGTACGCAAGCCAAAAAGCACTTTGTTCACACAGCAGGTAAAAGTGGCCCAAATCTTATCTTTTTCCTCATATGAGGAACACAGATGTGTTATCTTTGCGTCAGTGTGAACAGATAAACACTGAATCTGGCATTTTCAATTCAGATTTGAGACGCTTTCATATTTGGTACTGAAATCCAATCTGATATGTGGCAATGTGACTTAGGCTGAACAGCCGGATCGGATTTTATGTGACTTTTGCGTCAATTCAACTCGAGATTCATGATCATTTTGCGCTGCTGAGGCCTCATAAACATTTAGGCTGATGTTTCTGTACTAAATTAGAAGAGACTTAGCCAAATCACTCCATGTTCGAAGAGATTTCATAAGAAATGTCTGAACGCGGTCGTAGGAGAAGGAGGCTGCAGTGTGAAAGAACAGTTAAGAGCCTGAACGCAACATTTAAAGAATCAAAGACACAAACCAAAGACCACGCCCTTTTTACATTAGCTTGACCACATTCTGGGTGATGATCCCAGCTGTCAGTCAGTGAAGCTTCATGATGGCTCCTATGATGCTGGCAAAGATGAAACTGAAAGCTTTGGGAGCAACTGGCGTTCGTTGGCAGTCATGATTGTTTACCTCTGGATGAGCCGCGTGAAGCTCTGTTCTTTTGCGCATACGAGTCGGTTTAGGAGCTGATCTGTTCAGACTGATATCGCATATCGGTCACATTTAAAAATATTGTCAACAGCCAAACAAAAAAATTTGATTTGGTGAGAAAATCAGATTTGGGCCACTTTTACCTGCTATGTGAACTTAGCCTAACTAGCAGCCCTGTGTAGCAGCGCTTACCCTAGCAGCTAAACGAGCAAGTAATCTGTGCCTGCTGACCGTTCAGCTGACAAATACCTTCGTGACTGAACTGTGAAAAGCTCTTAGATGTCTGCATATTGCACTTTAAACACTGAAAGTAAATAGTTATTGTTTATTTATGGTCAGCAATGCAGTGTTCTTTCATGCATTTGGTAGCCGTCGTGTGCGATAATAGGATTGTACTAATATAGCCTACTATCTGTAGCAGTACCTCTGCCTTGAAAGCCTAGTGGCTGTGAATGAATGGAAACCATCAAATCATTACATTTCCTCCTATCTACCTCCAGCAGCCGTGAAATATCACATATTTACATTTCTGTCACCATCAGCTATTTCTCTCCATCCCTTTTCTCCTCACGCTTTAAACTGGACCACATTCAGCTGCGATGTTTAATGTCTTTAGAAACGTTCGCACAAAGATGGAGATCAGTCGACAGCCTCCTGCTGTGAATGCTAATCACTGAATAATTACCAGGCTCCCTATTAGGGTATCCTAACAATCTGTGCATAGTAATACAGTACTGCACTATAATGAATCATCTGGGAGACGCCAGTCACGTCTTCTCCAGCGCAGCCCCTAATGCTGACCTCCCAAGCTCAACCTCCCACCTCTGGGTTAAAGTGGTGCATCAGATTTACCCAGTTTAATCAAACTTACCCCAAACACGGTCAGTCAGCAAAGACACATTTGCTTCTTTGGTTTTGGAGCTACAAGGCTAATGTAGCTAAGAAGTATGGAAGCTTACACTCCACCAGTTAGCACTGTGCTAACTGCAATGCCTGAAACACAAACCTTGTGCAGATGTTCAGTATCTCTAATAGACTTGATTAAGTGGTTTCTGACACTGTAGAACACACTGTCATCAGCACATATGGACAAAATGTCCATACCTTTGTCCATGTGAATAGATAACAATGTGTCATACACTTTCATAAGAATTTTAATGTAGATGTATTTTTTTTTATTTAATTTCATTGTCTTTCACATAAAATCCTAAAAACAAATTAGAATTCAGCACAAAAACACCATTAGAATCACTTTCCTTACTCCATGTGACTCCATGTAATTTGTTGGCTACATTACTGTTACTGGCATGGTGGCCAAGTGGCAAGGCGTCGGTCTCGTAAACCGAAGATCACAAGTCCAACCCTTGTCCATGCCTTTTGGGGGCGGTTATGGGCTGGAGGTTAGGGAACCATGTGACCGGAAAGTTGCCGGTTCAATCCCCTGAGCTGACAGTATGTGACTGAGGTGCCCTTGAGCAAGATACCTTACCCCCACCCGCTCCTGGGTGCTGCGGATAGGGCTGCCCACTGCACTGGGCAAGTGTGCTCACTGCCCCCTAGTGTGTGTGCGTTCACTAGTGTGTATGTGGTGTGTCACAGCACAGATGGGTTAAATGCGGAGGTGAAATTTCTCCGTTGTGGGACTAATAAAAGTCTCTTAAGATAATTTAATTGGTGTCCAGTGCCAATGCTGAAGAAACAAACTTGTGATGCCAAATATGTCTTGGTTTATCAACTATATCGGGGTAAGTTAGGAAATCTATACAAACTTCAGTCCGACAGCATGACCTTGTCCTTAGAAATGATTTTAACCCTCAAACAGCTTCGCTAGACTTCCCCAGTTACCAAAGGGCCTTGCTTCTGCATGGCTAGGTCCATGGTGAATAGCACTGGGTCGAAGAATGAAATAAAAAAGCCACTCCTTTCCCTCGTGACTCATTGACTGAGTTGGCCTGGCAGAGTGGATCTTAATGAAACGAGGAGAGGGGCTAATACTCGGCCGGCGTGCGCAGAATCCTGACCAGTCGGCCAGGCTTTTTTAGCATTCAGTGCTTCACTCTGACCTTACCAACATTCCACCCCCATTCCTCCCTCTGCACTCCTCCCTGCTTTTCCCTTCTCATTCATTCCCTCCCTCTCTCTCCTTTCCTCCTCCACACTAGAGTCTAAAACCACCCTCTCCTTTCATAAGCTAGGCACTAAACTGCCCCTCTAAAAGCTATAGTTCAGCCAAAAATTAATATGATGCAAAGTCTCATTTACTTTAAATGTAATTGATCAGCCAAGATGTGTTTGGTGTCTGAAGTTTGCTTCTTTAGTTTTGCACTGGAGCTAATATAGCTAATAACTAATGCAAAGCTTTTAGCCGCTAAGTTAGCATTGTGCAAACTGCATGCCTCAGACCATGTTTACTTGCTGAGTCATCAGAAAAAGATTTGCTTATGTGGTTTTTGAACGCTGTCTACTGTTAAACAAGTACAGACAAAGTTCATGCTTTAAAAAAGCTGTTGTTACGTTTTTAGCTGTGTGACTTACTATTTTTATAGATAACAGTATCATAGAGTGCCAGAAACCACACAAATCTGTTTGGGTTCCCTTAAAGAGGAATTCCACCTTTTTTCCCCCAAATTTCTGCATAACTCAGCGGTTGAGATGTAAACAGAGTGATTCAGAGTGGTTTGGTGTGG